ACGACTCTCTGAGGAGCCCTCCTCTCTCCCATTCCCTTGTGGGCCATAAAACCACAAACATTATGCAAGGCTCATTGGACTGACAGCTAAGATTTGTGTATCGGTAGTTTGTTGAGCAGCAGGGAGATAGGGAGAGGTAAAAACCACGGAGACCTACATGACTTGTTCTGTTAAGGCATCACTTGATGGTTACTGCTCCAGAAAAGAAGAACCTGCTGCCAGAGCACGGTTTAGATGTCCTTTATACGTCCTCCTGGCCACCCTGAGCTGTGACACAGAGGGTCTCTTCTGGAAGCTGTTACCAAGGATTTCTCTCTTTGTTTCACACACATATGCATGCACAGAGGTGTGCCATGAAGAAGCATATTACTCCAGGGACCATATCCAGTCAACACTGTTTCCTAGGGAAATAATCTAAAATGATGAACATCACCAACCTGACCTTGCGAGCAGTAAAAAATGTAGTACGAGGCAGGATAATCAAGATAAATGGAGAAGATTAACCTGGAGATGAGGGCAAGGAAGGAGGGAGGGAAGAAAGAGGATGGAGAGCTCATGAGGCGCCTAGAGCTCACAGCATTCTCTGACTTTTCCAAAGATGTGCTAAGGATTGGGGAAGATGGAAGAAAGTATGAAAAGGGCCACTGAGGGGTAAAACACAGACCCCAAGCAAGAAGACAGACCCTAGGAAAGAGTCCCTCTGCACAGGAACACGAAGGGAGGACTGACCATGCTGCAAGGACCTGAGCCAAGAGGTGCTAAAAGCCTCACTCCAAACATCAACTCCAGCCCTAAGGCTGAGACAGCAATAAACTGTTCAGCTCAGTGATGGCCCAGAGCTGCCCTGACCACGTATCTTTGCAGCCTTCACAGACAATAGAAGGCAACACCAAAATGTAAGTGACAAGGCCTACAGAAGGCACGTAACTCTCTCCACTGGCTGTACATGGAGCATAAGCACCTTGTAGGCTTTCTGACTCTCCTTGCCAAGCCAGGTGTCTGTTGCCTAGATGTTGCATGCTCTGCATGGGCACCCATGGCCTTGGTGACTTCTAGCTGGAAAGGGCTCAATTTCTGATGGGGATGAAAGTCAGCCTCTTTGATCAGTAGCTGCTTTTGAAGATGCTTCCAGCAGAGCAACAGATGCATCCAGTTACTAGACAAGAGTTCCAGCGCCTCAACTACACGTGTGTGCACGTGCAGGCTTTGGTAGGAGCATCCCTCTCTTCTGTGATCGTGTTTCCCCCATCCCTCTCCTCTCTTCCCCAGCTTAATCTGCTCTGATGAAGGGAGGTGGCAACCTGAAAGCCACCTCCATCTCACAAGAACAGCCCAGAGACTGGATCGAGCTGCAGTCACTTTGCCTCCCAGAAGAAAACCCCATGAACAGCATACAAGGAGCAAAGAGAGGACCTCATTCCCTAGAGGCAGATAAAGGGGCTCCAACATATCCACAGCCAAAAAGCCGAGCGGTCCCACCTGAGCCATGCCCAAGTGTGATGCATCAGTCGCAGGCATGAGAGCAGTCCTCGCTCTAGAAAGACCACTGCAGCACTGGTATGTACTCCATCCCCACAATGCACGCCCCAGCCCCTCTCACACGTTCTCGGCACTCACCTGGCCGCAGGACCCTGATTTCCAGCAGGTTGGAGGTCCTGTCCGCCAGCCGTGTCCAGCTGCTGTTGTAGTTCTTCCTCCAGAGCTCAGCCACGCACTGGTACTTGCCAGCCTCCGTGTCGCTCGCCCTGCTGATGCTCAGGCGCACATTGTTGCTGGACTCGGCCTTCTCGATGGCAGTGCGGGTCCGGAAACTCACGTACCTGTCACCCCACTGGACCCCGCCGTCGCGCGTGAAGGTGACCAGGTCGTGAAACTCAGTGCTGCCTGCCGGCTGGAAACGCCACGTCACCGACACTGGTACCCACGATGGGTAGTGGGGCTTGATGATGCACTGGAGGTCAAAGGACTCGTTGTAGGTCACCCCGGGTGTGCGGGAGATAGCTGTGACTGCAAAGCCGGCCTCTGTGGAAAGAGAGAAAAGGGCTTTGAGAGACACCTGCCTAACGAGGCCCTGCTGTCAACATGCAAAAGCTAGAGCATGGTCATCTAGCCTGGAATAATCAGCAGCTTGCATTGTGTCACCTCCTCGTTTACAATTGCAAAGGGGCATTACAGCAGTGGCAAAAACACACTGAAGTGCCTGTGTAGTGGCAAACTGCCCCCATGAGCACCGGCTGCAGCGGCAGCAGGATTGCGCTCGATTTCTGCCCAGAGGAGCAAGATCCCCTGAGACCCGGAGGGCGAGCAGCCAGCCTCTGCCCTTCTGCACACTGTCAAAGTCCTGTATGGAAATGCAGCAGAGTGGCAGCAAGGGAGCAGCACCGGGCAGAGCAGCTGCCCAGCGCCAGCCTGATCACTTGCAGACCCTGTGATTGACATCCACCCCTTGGGCAGGGGGTCCCCACCCCATCCCCCACCCCAGGTCTGCAGCTGGTTGCTGCAGGTGAAGAAAAGGTGTCAAAAGTGAGAAGCAGCAGCCTTCCTTCATGCATTGGAGAGGTGGCAGCAGATACAGAATCCCAGGACGGAAGCAATTGAAATGAGAGACGCTGGTTGCTCCTGTTCTTCACACAGCCCGGTTTTTGTTCTCTTCCAGATCACAGCTCCAGGACGGCTTTATGCAGTTATATCCTCACACGTCCTTCACTCCACAAACAGGTCAATACATTTTGACTCGTTTACCCCCAGCACTTTGTTGGTTTAAGGTAGTTTAAAACCAGCAGTCTATTAGTAATTCGAAGATAACATATTCCCAGTCACCTGGCTTACATTTTGGGTCAGGGCATTTTCATTGCTTGTTTTTTCCTAGCTGCAGAGAAAAATATTTTCTTCTTTTCCAATCACTTCAGTGCAGCCAGCGGATTGAGCAGGGACCTTGTTTTCTACCGGCAACATCCCCAAGAAGCACTCCCTTCCCAGGCGGCTCTGCGGGGAGTCCCACCCCGGCTGGCAGCTCTCCTCCCTCCTCCTGCAGCGCCGACCGTCCTGGCACCCAGCACAGTCACCGCTGCAAGGGAGAGCCTGGCCAGCGCCCAGTAGAAACAGGAACGTCTTCTGAATCAGTACAGAGCCTCAGCCCACCACCGGCTTGAAATTATAGTTGAAGAGATAAGCTGGGAGCTCATCATAACCCACAGAGCTGCTGCTGCGGGGCAGACCAGCTGTGGCACAGACACCACCCTGCCTGGACACTTCCAGCAAGTCCCTCTGCAGCCCCATGGCATTACCGTACCAAAGCTCCGGGACATGTAATTACTGAGAAAACAGGTCAATCTTTGGGATTAAAGCCTCTTGCAACGTGTTCAGTGACTACCCAGGAGAGCAGAGCAAGACCCAGACTGTCTCCCCTGCAGGACTGATGCATCTCATCCCCAGGTAAGCCCTCACCTTCAGACCCTGCAGCAGCCATCCTGCCCTGGCAGTGGGCCTTACCTCCCTGCTAACCAGTAATCCTGGCGTTACCAGGCCCAGCTCAGACCACTGCTGAGCCAGCAATGGCCCTAGAAAGCCAACTTAATTTCACCAAGACCAGGTGACTTCATAAAATTTAATCTCCAGTTGGCCTGGGCAAGGAAGCTTGCTGAAGCCCTGCCTGGCCCCTCCTTCCCCAGCCAGCTAGGGACTGAAGTCTCTGCTGGGTGCTCGAGATCCTCAGAAGTTCAGGGACATCTGGTCTCATCTGACAGCACATTTCTCTTCTGGCTATTGCTTCTGAACCACCCTGTAAATAGATTTATGGGGTTGAACATCACCTATGTTGGTTCAGCTAAGGAGTTTCTTACCTTGGCAGACTGGCAAACGATTAGACCTTAACTTGAAATGTGAGTGTCACTAAATTTATGGCATTTTTTTTACTAGCAATTTCTGTAGCCATAAACTTCTCTTGCTCTTAGCACCTTCCATTTGAGTTTCCCAGGACACTTCAAAACATTATGCTTAACAAAAAATATCAGATTCAGCAGCAACAAAACAATACTCAATATTTTTACCACTAAATTTTCATGAGCTACTTCATCTTTGCTAGCTATAGGAAGAGGGCCTAGGAATTTCTTAGGACTTGACAGAAGACACTCAAGAGCCGACGATTTCTCTGGGACAAGGAGCAGAGGAGGAGGGACAATACCTTTCCATCACATCTTCTGGAACTGCTGGGCAATTCTGAGCATCTTAAATTTTAAGAAAAGTAAAAATGATACATTTAAAAATCTCAACACTTAATCTCAACACTTCTACAAGTTGCAGAGTAAAGAGAAGGGTTGATACATAGACTTCCAGCAGGCCAAATGCTGCTGACCTGAAGAGAAAGACGCCATTGAAACCAGATGAGAATATGCCTTTAGTTCCTTACAAACTAACATCCCTACCTGCTTTTGGAAGCTATGTGGCAAAGAGTTCTAGCTCCAGACAGAACAGCCTCTGGAAGGTCAAAAGTGAAGGGAAGCAAAGGAGGAAAAAAGCAAGATTTTAATCAGAATATGATACAACTTTGAAGTCTGGTCTCACACATCTTGCCAAAGCTTAAGATGAATACTGTGGAGAACCAAAAAAAAAAAAAAAAAAAAATTCCTATTTTGACCTTTCAATAGCGCTCCCCAATTGTTTATAGCCTGGCATTCTGCAAATCAGCAGCCTCACAGAAGCAGTCATCCCTTCTTCAGTCTCCTGCAGAGCACTGCAGGAATCAGTCCAGGACTTAATATAGCAAGGCCTGAGTGGGACCCGAGTAATTCACAGTCCATGCAAAATCCCTAATGCCCTACCTGCCCTCTTTTAAACGGATGAGGTTTCAGTGTGTTTGAAATGGAGGAGCTCTTTGGCAGAGCAGAGTACCAGCTGCAACAATCCCGGCTTCTAGTTTGGCTTGGTCATGGACAATGGTGCAGTTCCTTGCCAGCAGCGCAGTGCCTCCTTGCAGAGGCAGTGAGGAGGATTCTTGACCCACATCTTCTGCGGGCTTCTGATGCTGTCGGAGACACTTCTGATTTCTGGTGGTTAGGCAAACAGATGCCCAGTGTTTTGCTTTCCTGGTCTGGCGAGTGGAGGTAAGGTTTACCCAGGGCACGGAAGGAGGCTTCGATGTCCATGGATTGCCAAAGCAGCACCGCCACACCATTGCCCACACCCCAGCTCCAACGCAGTGGGACATATCGTGGGACTGGCAGCCTCTCTCCTCAGAAGGACGCTGGAAGCACTGCCCCTCTCCTCAGCCACCCCCTGCTTTGCTCCTGCCACAGCCACCACTCAGACTTTGCCCCCACACACAACAGGGCACGTTTTGTACCAACCTACCGGCAGCTGCGGGCGGGCTGCCAGGTGCTTCCATTTTGCCAGCAAGCAAGGGTGGGAGTGCTGAAAGCAGCCCTGGTTATTTGCAGGTGACCTCCTGGGGACCGGGTGTGTGGGGAGCACGGTCCCACAGCCCCCGCGCCTTGAGTACTCACCCAGAGCAGTGATGGACACCGGGGTGCCCGCATGCCGCTCCCCAACCATCTGCCACTCCCCATCCAGCGTCTGCGTCCACTCGGCCACCCGGCACTCGTAGTGGCCCTCGTCCGCCTTGATGCTGTTGAAGATCTCCAGGGTGAAGGAGCCGGGCCGGACCTGCTCCACCTGGATGCCCCCGTAGCTGCTGCGCTCAGCGTACGAGGGGCCCGGCTGCAGGGTGCCCTCCCGATCCAGACGCACAATTTCACTGCGCCGGTTCAGCTTGTCCACCAGCTGCCAGGCGACAGAGAGGCGGCTTTGGGGCCCAAAGCCCGAGCGCACATTGCAGCCAAAGCGCAGGCTCTCCCCCTCCAAGACATTGCTGGCGTTGTTGATAATCTCCAAGGAGATGCTGGTCTCTAAGGAGAAAAATGCATACACACAGGGGAGATGATACACACTTGCCACTTGTTGGTCTGCAAGAAGGACGCTGCCGGCCAGAGAGGCTTTCTACCAGGTGCAGGAAACTGCCCACGCATTTGGGTCCGGGCACGTCTTAACCTCATGCGTGACCACATCCAAAACCAGCTTGTGGGCAGCGAGCTGCTCCTGGTGACTTGCACACTCAAAGAAGGTGTAGGCCAAAGCTGGGAGAAATCTCTCTGCCTACGGCTCACGAGACATTGCCGCATCTTCTGGTCGCAGGTCCGGGATGGGATCTCAGCAAAACTTGAGGGAATTTGTGTTGCTACAACATGCACCGCATGCAACCGGCTCTGCCAAAAAAGAGCTTCCAGCTCCCTGGGCTTTTCAATTCATGTCACCATCTTGCCACGTCCATTCCTACAACACCTTTTGGGAGAAGCTCTCCCAAACTCCCATTGCTAGTGACACTAGAGGTAGCTATCAATGTTTGGTAACATCAAAAAAACCTGGTATCCTGAGCTTCCCAGAGTTGTAAGGCTTTACGCTGTTTTTTCAGAGATACTGAGTGCTGGTTACTCCTGCTGTCTTTCGTCGGGAGTTATGGGCACTTAGCACCCTTGAAAAATCATCACATTTGCTCCTAGAGCTGGTGATTTATCAAATGGCAAGAATGAAATCTGCCTGAAAGGTGGTTGTGCCTTAGAAGTACTACATTTTATACACTTGTCCAGTGCAAGATTACTAGCTAGAGTAATTTTCAAAGCCAAGCAAATGAGACCAAATATTGGCAGGAGAGAAAAGAAATAGAATTTCTCTTGGAGAAATAAGGAGGGGAAAAAAAGCTAGAGGAAAGGGCTGCATTTCTGTAAAAAACTAAGAGACAGGAAACAAATGTCGCATAAAATCCTCTTGCAGCTACCCTCTGCTTGGTGAAAGCCCACCGCCAAGGTAGCCTGGGCAGCACATGCATGGTTCATCATGCTACAGCTACCTGAGTTTCAGAGAGCAAAACAAGGAATGAGTCAGTGGATCCTCTCCTCTCACCATGTTATTTCTGTATTTATCACATTTGTCTGATGAAGATAACAGGCATTCAGGGAAGCCTCCGGCAGGGTTGTTTTCACCAGGGTTGGTGGACACACACTGACCACAACAGAGCTCCATGCTGAAGAGCAAACCGGGGCTCGAGGAGCACATGAACCCTGTTTTTTCCCAGCACAGCTGTTTTGCAAGACAGCTGAACAACAGCCATTGAACGGCCTGCAGGAACCTAGCAGTTCTTAGGATAAATCAGGGCCAAGCCGGTCTCCCCGTTACGTCTGCTGAGTACTTTAGAGCACCCAGCTCTTAAGGAGAGAGGTGTGAAGAGCGAGTCAGAGGCTGTCACACACACCTTCAGCTCAAGGCCAAAACTGTGAGCTTGGGGCCATTACCAAGGTGGGGGCATGTTTCCCCAGCTACTAACCTGACACATATCCCTCCTTCTCTATCATTTCCTTCCCATCCAAAAAAAACCCCAAGAACTTTCCACTTAGGATTTCAAGCCTCCACAGCATGCAAACTCTTATCGTCCCTCTTCCCCACTGCCAAAGTCTAGAGACATCACAGCCTCACCCGCTAGCTGCCCAGCAGAGCAATGACCTCAGGAGGGGATGGGCAAATCTCTACTTACTGAGTGGCAGGACAGTGATGGGGATGTTCTTTGGCCGCTTGCTCTCTTTGTCGATGAAGTCCCCCGTCACAGTCTTCTCCCGCTCAGTCACCCGGCAGTTGTACTTGCCACTGTCCTCAAGGCGGAGGCGGTAGATCTTCAGCACAAAAACGTTGTCACTTTCTTTGGCTACCTTGAGCTGGCCCAAGGCCTCGCGCTGGGCAAACTCGTTGTTGAGCACCGGCACAGCATTGGGTCCTAGGCTGGCGATAAGGGAGCTGTTGAAGGCCCAGGAGATGGAGAAGTAGCGGTCAGGGATGTTCTGTGCCTCCAGGATGCACCGAAACTCCACTGGCTCACCCACGATGTATGTCCGCTTCTCAGTCTCCAGCCGAACACTGAACTCCTTATCTGGGGCGAGACAGACCAACTCACGTCAGCATGGCAAAGCCCATCAGGAGAGCTAGCACACCTCATGCGAGGTATTTACTTGCTACTCCCTGCACAGCCAACATCCCTAGGACACGTACATCCAAATGTGGAGGGGTTAGGGGCCTGCTTTTGCTGTGAGAGCCCAGATTGGCCATGCTGCAGGAGAGGCAACTTGCTGCCCAGCATGCAAGAGCTGTAAGGTTTCCCCAGTCATAACTGGGGACACCAGCATTCAGTGGCACTGCGGGATGTGACATGGAGCCTAGTCCTACTCACACCCTGCTCAGCAAGGGTCAAGAGGCAGGGCCTTTGGGGATATCAGAGAAGAAGAAAGAGCTCAGCTGGGTTTTTTCAGGAACCTGTGCTATGGGCTGGGTGAAGGATTTTGACTTGCAAATGGACCTTGTGCAATACAGAAGTGCTTGCTGAAAGTTTTAGTTTGATTTTCTGCTGTGTCACTCTTACCTCCTTACTTACCAAAATTCTTATTGCCTGTGCTAGCACCAAGTGCTGAAGATGTATGTTTTAGCTCCTGCATCAGTCCCAGATTGCTGACCACGTGAGGAGACAGGGCCTGCCACCCAAGCCCTCTTGCTGCCCCGGTGTCTCCTGCTTGCTCTTTGCTGACATTTGCCCTGCCCGCAGGCAGCACTTGGATCCTCCTTTGCCCTGCTTCACTCTGCCCAGCAGCCTCCCAAGTGGGGCACACAGCAAAGGAGGGAGCTAAGCCCCAGCCACCTAACAAGGCACGTCCCCATTATCCGCCTCCTCCCACTGCCCACCCAAGCAAGAAAAGGCAAAGGAGACACTGACCGGTGGCTTGCACGTTGACAACAGCACCCTGGGAACGCTTGCGGGTCATGGCATACCAGGACTTGTCCGGGTCCTGAATCCACTCTGCTGCCTCGCAGTAAAACTCTCCCTGATCTGATGGGTGGAGGTTGTAAATGGTGAGCTTTGCGGTGGTCTCCCCAACTTTGTCCAAACGAACGTCCCCTGTGGCTTGCCGCTGGGCATAGGCGCTGCCGGCCCGCAGGACAAAGTCACGGCTGAGGGAGATGACCTCCACGGGCACCTCACTGCCTCGCTGACGGTACCAGGCAATGGAGACGTGGCTGTGCTGGACTGTGCTCTTGGACACCTCACACTTCAGCTCCAGGGAGTCGCGCTCCACTTTGTTCAGTGTCTGCGGGACTGCCGTCACTCGCAGTGAGTCGGGGATCACTGCAGGAAAGGGGATGGGGAAACACAGCCTGAGAGTTAGCAATACTGAAACGCTGAGTCTAAAGCCCAGATGCGTTAACAGAAAGCTGGGGAAGATGTTTCTTTTTATGGTTGCAATTAATCGTTAAGTATTAGCGAAGCCCTGCTACCTCAGATCTAGCCCCCAAAAGAGGAGAATCGTCCCCAAAGCCCTTGGCTGGGAAAGACCATGACCTGCAGCATATATTCCAGTGCTGGCCCCAGCAACTGCACAGGGTTTTCCATCACGCTGCAGAGCAGCACAGCTTAACACCTCCGCTTCCAATCGAGGCATTTTCACCCCACCGTGTGCCCCCCAGCATGCTTCTTGACCCCCCTCCTGCCCACACCCTTCAGCCACTCCTTTGCCCTGCACCATGGTCTTAGCACCTCGGTCCCCCTTGAGGCTAAGCTAAACATACTTAGTTCTTTTAATCTTCCCTCATAAAAAGTCAGGAGATGCAATTCCCCTCTTCTTTGTTTATATCCTTTCACGTTTTAATGAGCCTCTCAGGTCCACGGAAAGGTTTTCTGAATTCGGAGGGAAGTGGCTCCTCTGAGGGCAGCAATGCCATTGCAGCATGCCCAGCGCCCACTCCCGGGGCACAGCCACATCAAGGCACTCGGTAAGAAAATTGCTAGCTACTTTACCAGTTGATTAACCAGAGGAAAGAAAGTGCAGCTGCTAAAATCAAAATGAAAAAAAAATGCAGCCCCCCCACAACCTTGCTTGATTTTAGCAAGCATCTTAATTTTAGCAAGAGGTGCTACCACCAGAAGATAGACTTTCTTAAAAATAAGTCTTTCTAGACTTTGTCTCAGGAAACGTCATGTGAAAAGAAGAATGCAAACCTCCCCAGCCCTGCAGACAAGGCAGTGCCACCGATCCTGCTAATGCCCATGGTTTTGCCATGTACCGGTGGAATATAATTAACATATCTTGGTTCAGTTTCATTGACAGCACTGGAAGGCTTGATGAAATTAGCTGAGCTGCTGAAAGCTGCATCTGTTTCGTTCAGGCATGGCTACAGAAAGCAATGAGCTGAAGTGAAGACAACCACTGGAATTATTTATGGCAGAAAAGTCAAAAGCAGAAGAGGGGAAAGAAAAAAACCATGAGATGGAGTAAACAAGAAGTCTTCCTGCATCCAGCCTAGATGGGAGCACTCACTTTTACCACGTGTTCACTAACCAGGAAATTTACTGCCCCTGACAAGGAAAGTACCTGGTAAGGGCATTTACATGGCAGGCCATTGCCCCTGTCCCTGAAGCCACATCTCCTGCTCCCTCCCTTCCTCTCATCTTCCTTCCTTGGGCTCCCGTCCCCTGCCCACCAGCCATAGCCTCTGGCAGGTTGCCGCTGGGAGCCCACCTCGCTTCGCCTTTCCCCCTTCCCTCTGATTCCCAGCAAAGCAGCAGTGACAGAAGCAACTAACCTTGCCGGTTCACGCTGCCTGCACAATGAGATTTAAATTTCTCATTTCAAACCTTTCTGAATAATTTCCAGAGCTGTGCAGCTCCATTCTCTTTGCCCTCCAGCCACAGGCTCTTATAACTTTTCTTACGTTATTTAAATAAATTAAACCTGATCATCAGCTTGCTGGAGTTACTTT